TTCTGTGAAATCTCCCCCGAGGAATGGAAGTCAAATGAGGTTTGGAACATTCTATTACAGAATGACACTATGACTTTTTTTTTTTTTTTTTTGGATGAGCTAATCTTTTAACATTTCTAAAAAGTTTAAAACAAAAGCTATCCACGTCATATAGGTGCATAACAACTACTTTAAGATATATATACATATCCATATATATATATATACATACATATACTGTATATATATATATTAGTGCTGTCAAATGATTAAGTGCGATTAATCGTATCCAAAATAAAAGTTTTTGTTTACATAATATATGTGTGTGTACTGTGTATATTTATTATGTATATATAAATACACACACATGCATGTATATATTTAAGAAAAATATGTTATGTTTATATATTTAATTTTATATATATATATAAGCATTTAAATGGGTATCGTGGGTAACTGGGTTGCAAGTTGTAAAGTTACAAATTCAGTTTTAACTCAGTAGGAGCTAGTTAGTTTTAAAATAAATAACATGGTTGACTACAGTTTGTGTTCAAAATTAGAAAAATACAGTGTGTTTTTTTTTTCTTTTCTGATCATGCTGTAGAATGGTTCCAATCTGTGTTATTTCTCAGGAGTCAGTTAAAAGATGTTACATTTGTAATATTACTAAAATTAATAATATCCATTAAAATGAATGTAATTAAAACAAAGTTAAAATAGCTTTTGCACACTGAGCTGAATATCATTTCAACAGATTGTTAAAAATATGAGTTGTCAAAAACAGTTTTAATGTGCTAATACAGACATTAAATGATAATATTGTTAGATAGTACTTTATAAAACATATCTAATAGTCAAACCCTTTTCAGTGCCATCCTATTTTTCATGCACTGCAGTTTTCTTGTTAAGTTTCTTCACTTTGATGAGACTTTGTCTATGAACTCGTTAACTTCATGTAATTGTGTTTGTTAAATCTGTGCTCAGAAAGCATTTGAGAAACGAGCGTCTTCCCTGCAGCTGTTTTAGAGAAACCCTTGGAGAAGAAGGCAGGGAGGAACTACGGGCCACCGGGTAGCAAGCGCCTCATCTACTTCATCGATGACATGAACATGCCGGAGGTGGACGAGTACGGGACGGTGCAGCCGCATACGATGATCCGCCAGCACATGGACTACAGCCACTGGTACTGAGCGCCATTTATCACACGATCTGACACAAACACACTTGTTACGATGGTGTGCCTTTGCTCAGGTGGATCGTTTAATTGCTACATTCATGGCTTTGGTTACGTGAGTGTTTTATGGTGTTAACCAGCATACAGTTAGGTCCATATATATTTGAACACAGGCAAAATTTTTTATCATTTGTGACCCTGGACCACAAAACCAGTCTTAAGTTGCACGGGGATATGTGTAGCAATAGCCAAAAATACATTGTATGGGTCAAAATTATAGATTTTTCTTTTATGCCAAAAATCATTAGGATATTAATTAAAGATCATGTTCCATGAAAATATTTTTAAAATTTCCTACTGTAAATATATTAAAACTTAATTTTTGATTAGTAATATGCATTGCAAAGAACTTCATTTGGACAACTTTAAAGTTATTTAATAAACTTTAAATAAAACAAATTTTTTTGCACCCTCAGATTCCAGATTTTCATTATTTATTTATTCAGCTTTCATGTGATGTATAAATCTCAATTTTGAAACATTGACACTTAAGACTGGTTTTGTGGTCCACTGTCACATTTTAGCTGCTGACCAAAACATATTCAAGTTACAGTTATATAATGGATTCTAAACAAAATATCAAAAATTAACATTTTATTTATGATTATATTTATTTGTCCGATTACATTTGAGCCCCTGAAAATGGGGGGAACTGTATAAAACTGGTTGTAATTCCTAAGCATTTTATGTTATATTTTTGTTCAACCCCTTGAATTAAAGCTTAAAGTCTGCACTTTAATTTCATTTTAATTCTATTCTGGTGGCATACAGAGCCGAAATTCTGAAAATTGTGTCAGTGTCCAAATATATGGGGACCTAACTGTGTATTGGTTGAGATGGTCTGCTTGCAGGGCCGGCACTGCAGGCGTTGTGTCTGCTGTTGGTTTGCAGAGTCTCTGGTGTGTCTGTTAGACCTGAGATGAGCTGAAGTCAGTGCATCTGTGGGTCGCAGTGGCTTTAGCGCAGACGCGCCGCGCATACAGAGTGTGTTTGTGTGTGGCTGACGAACGCCGTGTCCTCTCAGGTATGACAGGAGCAAGCTGCAGCTGAAGGAGATTCACAATGTGCAGTACGTGTCCTGCATGAACCCGACGGCCGGCAGCTTCACCATCAACCCTCGCCTGCAGGTACTGATATCAGAGAGATTCTACAGCACAGTCTGTCTGACACAGAGCTCGCTGTCACTTCATAAATACACACACGTGTTTGTTTCGCTATTACTTCCATTGATTTTCTATCAGGTGAATGATATTTTCTATCGCCTAACCCCACCCATAAACTTACCCATCACAGAAACATATGCAAAATAAAGCAATAAGCCTCAAGAAGCAGTGGTTTACAGTAAATTTATAACTCCGCTTTGCGTCGTGCCTAACAATGCCCCTTAGCTGTTATAAATTCACTGTAAACCACGGCTTCACGGGGCTTATTGCTTTTATAAAACGGTTTCACAGAATAAAACAGAGCAAATAAAGGGTAATGATATAAATAAAAACACTATTCTTCCACCAAACAATGTAGTTCCTCAGAAACAGTTGTGGTTCCAACAAAGTGGTTGCCGAGCAACACACAGAAGTAAACAAAGGTGTATGTTTGTAGTGTAATTTACAACAGCTTCGAACGCGGCTCAACCAATCAGAATCAAGGACCGGAACTATCCGGTTTATAACACTAGATTTACATAAAACATGTTTTGGCTGATTTATATACCTTTAGTAGTAGGAACCAGTAAAATGTCCTCACTAGTGGGTTGTCAGAGTATTTTACAATATACTGTAAGGGTGATGATAAACGGGGCAACTTTTTGAGCAATGTTGCTTGGGCATTTTCCCACTGAGAATGGGAAACAAATTTCTATCTGGATACTTTAGATCAGTCGTGGGCCCTGTGTCCCATTGATGGCAACATTGCTCAAAAAGTTGCCCCGTGTATCATCAGAACATTTGGTCCTCACAAGTCACACACACACATACACACACTGCTGTTTAGAAGTTAATTAAAAAAACTATACTGTTAGATGTACATGATAGGAGTCATAAGAAATTTACACTACTGATCAGATGTTTGGAAGAATTTTTTTTTAAATATGTTTATTCAGGAATGATACATTATATTGATTAAAAACAAAAAAAAATTATATTACAAATAAATGTTGTTCTTTTTAGGCTTGCCACGATAGACGGTGCTGACGGTGATACCGGTGTTAAGCCGCAACACCGGTTACGTCACTTGCCCACCGCGGCACCGACCCCCACCGTCGTTTTGATTTTTTATAGTAATAAAAATAATTTAGTTCAGTAAAAGAACAGACACTACAATTGAAAACTGAACGCGGCTGCTCAATGCAGCGTGCCGAATGACAGTCGCATCACAGATCAGATTTCATTTCTCCAACGAGGAGAGTGAGTCGAGCCGACTGACAAGAAGAGTGAGGTGAGACAGACAAGACGATCGCGGATGATTTAGTTTCGAAACGAGATGCAAAAGCGCCTGTTTGGCAGTATTTTGGATTTTGAAAAGCCTG